CCTTGGAGAAGGCTGTGGCATTCTCTGGAATGCGTGCATTTGGCTGGCAGGGTTGCTAGGGAAACCTTGTGCTGCTACACAGTACCCCATTCAGGCCTCCAACAGACACCTGTGCAGCCTCTGAGCAGGTGCCCTTTCAGCCCCTGGGCAGGGAGGAGGAAATGACGGGAAAGCTGCTGAGACCGGGCACTGGAGGGCTCTATGTGATTCTTTCCCTTCAGTAACATTGCAGTTTCAGGCTACAGAGTCGGTCCACACTTGTTATAAATCAGACACTTCTAGGTCAGGTTCCAGCTCCACCACTTCCTGTGACACCGGGCAAGGGGCTTTGCCTCTATGCTTATTTCTCGCCATGGCTCACGTTTCAGGGGTCGGCTTTGGTGGCCTGAGGTTTGAGTGCCCTTCTGCTTTCTCCTGGGCACAAGGGTAGTTGATCTGCACCGTTGACTCACAATAGTTTAAAAATCTGACCAGGCGCAGTGGCTCATGCCTGTAATCCCAGCACTTTGGGAAGCCGAGGCAGGTGGATAATCTGAGGTCAGGAGTTTATGACCAGCCTGGTGACCAACATGGTTAAACCCCTTCTCTGCTAAAAATGTAAATTAGCCAGGCGTGGCAGATGCCTGTAATTCCAGCTACTCGGGAGGCTGAGGCAGTAGAATTGCTTGAGCCCAGGAGGCAGAGGTTGCAGTGAACCGAGATCGCACCATTGCACTCCAGCCTGGGCAACAAGCGAAACTGAAATAAATAAACGAACAAACAAACAAACTGTCACCCACAAAGACATTTTTGAAAGAAAAAAGTATTTTCTCCCTTTCTTGTAGTAAATGATAAAATTCCAAGTCTTTCTCACTGCCTTTCCTTTCAAACCATGTTTAGAAGAGCGTAGTGTGACAAGCTCTAAGCAAATATTTGTTATCACCTAATTTGTCAGTGGGATTTAGGTGCGCTCTGCTCATTGTCTCCACTGAGTGAGACACCCTGACGGAGGGAGAATGGCCTTGGTGGGAGCACTTTTCAGTTAACTTCCATCTCCAGATAAGCAGACAGCACATGAGATGCTATTTTTTGGCGAGGTGTGGCTCACGCCTGTAATCCCAGCACTTTGGGAGGCCAAGGCGGGGATCACCTTAGGTCGGGAGATTGAGACTACCCTGGCCAACATGGCAAAACCCCAACTCTCCTAAAAATACAAAAATTAGCTGAGCGTGGTGATGCATGCCTGTAATCCCAGCTGCTCAGGAGGCTGAGGCAGGAGAATCGCTTGAACCTGAGAGGCAGAGGTTGCAGTGAGCTGAGATCATGCCATTGCACTCCAGCTTGGGCAATAAGAATAAAACTTTGTCTCAAAAAAAAAAAAAAAAAAAAGAAATATTTTTCTCCTAATATGCTGTTTCCATTATGACACATCAGCTCCCTTGTATCAGATCATGTCCACTATCCCTTGGTACATATATGTATTTGCTTTTAGACGATTTCTTTGGTTTTAATAAATAAGTAAAGCTAGTTCTATTGAAATGCAAAAATAAAATAAAAAGTGGGCTGGGTACTGTGGCCCACACCTGTAATCCCAGCACTTTGGGAGGCTGAGGCGGGCAGATCACAAGGTCAGGAGTTCGAGACCAGCCTAACCAAAGTGGTGAAACCCCGTTTCTACTAAAAATACAAAAAAATTAGCCAGGCGTGGTGGCACACGCCTGTAATCCCAGCTACTTGGGTGGCTGAGGCAGGATAATTGCTTGAGCCCAGGGGGCAGAGGTTGCAGCGAGCTGAGATTGTGCCACTGCATTCCAGCCTGCGGGACAGAGTGAGACTCCGTCTCAAAAAATAAATAAATAAATAAATAGTGGACAATATCTGGGGTCAGCTTAAGGAGGCGACCGATTTTTGGTAAAACAGCTGCATGCACTTTCCCTGGCCCTTAGCTTCATATGTGCCACCCTGCCCTGTCACCCTGGACAAGTCACTCCCTCTCCGGCCAGCTTTCTTGTCTGCTGAGTACACTGGATCTTTGCTGCTGGATGGCGGTCCTCGCACCGGCAGCGCTGGCTCCACGTGAGAACTGCCTAGAAAAGATCTCAGACCCGACCCCCAACCCTGACTCAGACTCCACTTTAGCAAGATCTGCAGATGATCTTCACAGCATTTTATCAGAATCTTTTTTCTTTCCCCCAAGATAGAGACTCACTCTGTCGCCCAGGCTGGAGTGCTGTGGCGCTTTCTCAGCTCACTGCAACCTCCGCCTCCCAGGTTCAAGCAATTCTCCTGTCTCAACCTCCCGAGTAGCTGGGATTACAGACACATGCCACCACACCTGACTGATTTTTTTTTTGTATTTTGAGTAGAGACGGGGTTTCACCATGTTGGTCAGGCTGATCTCAAACTCCTGACCTCAGGTGATCCACCCACCTCGGCCTCCCAAAGTGCTGGGATTACAGGCATGAACCACAGCACCCGGCTAGAAAGGGAGGTTTTTTTTACCTCACCACAAGATGCCACCTTAACAATAAAATAAATTCCAGGTATGCCTCACAATCTGACTATTCTTATCTACACCTAGAAACCAAAGAGACATGGATAAATGTGAGATACCCCTCATTACCTGAAACTCAGAAACTACATGTATTTGGATTAATGCTTTACTGTCTGAATTTACTATATCCAAAATCTTTCCATCCAAATTCAGGAGCTCAACAGACTCAACAGCAAGGAATGCTCACGTGAAGTGTATGTTGTAGTAGTGAGAAATCTTTAACCGATTGAAGCTTTCATGCTGCCTTTGTCTAGGAATGACCACTACAGAGCAGAGCAGCACACTGGTCTCAGAGCTTTAAAAACTCTCTAGGTCAGACTTGTCAAGTTTTCGAAATATAAAACGAGAAAAAAAACCCACCACATTCAGAAAACACCTCTAATCCAAAGAAAGTGGGATGGAGTGGACCTGTCATCCCACAAATCCATCATTGAGTAAAATCAGGAGCTGAGCCAATTTCACTTTGCAGTGCACAGGAAGCCATCAGGAGTGCTCAGCAAGGAAAGCTGGACTAATTGGCACTTCAGAAACAAGACAAGACATACGAAATCAACAGTTCATTCGTGAGAATATCAGATGCAGTTAATTGACTAAGCACCACTTATAGACACCGTAAAGCTAGAATCGTTATTACCAGCATTATTTCCTACAAGAAAAGTGTGAGGTGACACAAAACAGTTCAAAGAGCATTTCCTGAGGTTAGCCACTTGGATAACCTAACAATAAAGATGACCGTTCACATTTATGTTGTTCAAAGCAGTTTCAAGTTGCAAGATAGATCACAAGTATTTCTCTCTACTGCTATGCTCTTTAGGCCAAAGACTGATTCGATTTCAAAAATGAAAAAGACTAGGAGGAAAGAATTCTGAATTTTAATTACCTCCAGCTTCTTTGAATAAACTAATCATCAGCATGAGAAAAGGTTTTAATCTCTGACCCCAGGACTCTTCATATGCTAAATGGCATAAAATGACAAACATCTTCAAAATGTGAGGTATCAACTAACTGTGAAAGCAAAATCTTGCCACCCTAAAGAAACCTTTTTCTTTTTTGATAGAGTTTTGCTCTGTCATCCAGGCTGGAGTACAGAGGCACGATCTCAGCTCACGGCAACCGCTGCCTTCTGGGTTCAAGTGATTCCCCTGCCTCAGCCTCCCTAGTAGCTGGGACTACAGGCCCAGCTAATTTTTTGTATTTTTAGTAGAAACTGGGTTTCACCATGTTGGCCAGGCTGGTCTCGACCTCTTGACTTCAGGTGATCTGCCCGCCGTGGCCTCCCAAAGTGCTGGGATTACAGGCATGGGCCACTGCACCCAGCCTCATTACTTTCATAAAATAAGTAAACAAAATACATTAATCTAGTGGAAACAGACATGCTACTACACAACTATCTTTGAAGTAATCATTTTAAGATGTCGCCGACCTGTCAACTCTATGGTCTCAGGTATGGCAACATTGAAAAATCTCCATTCCTTGGTTCAGATTCCATTCACCATTCATTCACGCAACCGATTATGAGTGCCCTTACTGTGTGCATGATACGTGCTAGGCGCTATAACAAAATTTAAACTCTCACTGTTGTCCTCCAGATGCTTACATTGCCCTCGAGGGTGTTACACAACAATTACATAAAGCACATTGCATTATCAACGATAAAACCTACTGTGAGTTCAGAAAAAGAGCAAGCACTTCCTAAAGGAAGCAATGTCTGAAGCATAAGCCTGAAAGCTGGATCAGGTTCCAGTGAAGTCAGAAAAATTAAGCCTTCCAGAGAGAAGAAACAGTTCAAATGCAGAAAGATAAACATTCTTTCTCCACTTAAAGTACAGAAAACTAAGAGTACCAAATAAGTCTAATCAAATTTGAGAAATAGAAATATTTTACAATTCTCTAGAAATAATTTTTTCTTATCTACGCAATCGTTAAAAAACTTAAAATTTTTTTGAGGCCGGGTGCGGTGGCTCAAGCCTGTAATCCCAGCACTTTGGGAGGCCGAGGCGGGTGGATCACGAGGTCAAGAGATCAAGACCATGCTGGTCAACATGGTGAAACCCCGTCTCTACTAAA